AAAAAATATATTTTCCAACTATTTATTGTCAAATTTAGTCTAATAATTGAAAATATGGACGAAATAAGAAATATGAAACAAATAAAATACATACAAAGCAGAACAGCTAAATGTATCAAAAGTATGTCTGTAATATTAGAATTTCTGAGACAATGAATTTTGGTTTTTCATTTTTTTCCAGTAAGAGGATTTTATTTAATAGAATTTTTGGACAAAAAAAAATCACAATATATCGCCTTGTTTACAGTATCGAAATATATCGAGATATATTGTATCGTGACTCCTCTGTCATGATATGTATCGTATCGCCAAATTCTTGCCAATACACAGCCCTACTCAGTTACTGTTACAGATAATGATGTGAAATGTGATGAGAGTCATCTATGACATCTACTCCGAACCTGACATCTCACAATACGGTGTGAGATCACACAACATTATACTACAAGGTTTGATTAAAACATATTTCACTCTTTTTTCAGTTATTAATAATGAAAAGATTAGTCTAAAGACATCCTTGAAGTGTGACATCTCCTCATGTCGCACGAGATTATTCTCCAGGTTTAACCAAATCATCTACATCTTCAGTATTTCTCATCAGAAGATGATTTTAGTTTTAAAACTCTGGCACAGAATCAGCAGATGAAATGTAAACATTTAATTCCAGTGTTAAGGTGCTTCACTGAGAGAAATGAGCTGGGACTTCCTTTACCTTGGAACTGTAAATCTTTAGGACTGGCCATTGCTTCGGTGGACAAACACCTTCACTCTCCTGAGACCTAAACGAGAATAAAACCAGTAAAAATAAAAATGAAAGTTCAACAACACACCATTCCCATCTATTGCCCTTCATTTAAAACTAAAACTGAGTCCCGCTAGAATAACTAGAGTTGATTCAAACGTGTTCATTTCCAAAGAAAGACCCGCTTTAAGCCGACTGTAAAAATATATAAAAATCAACCAAACATGTCACATTTTACCAAAAACTTAACATACCAACCCTGTCCACAGTAAATCCAAGCTTCAGACCTGATTCGACAACAGAACTAACACCAGTGTTTCACATTAAGTTATAATGATATAAACGTATTTATCTCTCCGTAACTCCAGTAATGCAATACATCCGAAAAGACTGAACGTCTTACGAGACGCTTTTATTTAAAGCACTTCAGCAGCTGCTACAAGGTAAACTTCTCTTCCGGTACACGTCACCACGTAAACAAAGCTGTCACGTGAGCGTAGATCTGACTTTTTTTCTTCCATCAAAACTTTATTGAGGATTTGTCCACTAACATGGTTTAAATATTTAAAATAAAAACCGGTACATGGGATTCGCATATGTTTTTTCCCCTGTGTATGCATAAATTAATACTTTATTCCAAATAATGAAAGTGAGAAGAAATAAAGGCGCTAAATTCAGTCATGGTCCAACAAGTTTATTATTATTATTATTATTATTATTATTATTATTATTATTATTATTATTATTATTATTATTATTATTATTATTATTATTATTATTTTACCTTGAGCAGTATTCATCCTCCAAAGATTTGGAGAACAGCATTAATTCATTTGTGAGTGCATTTAGTTAAGACAACAATGCTATTAATTATTTATGTCCTTCAAAAACACCACAATTAGCATAGTTAAAAGAAACAGTATATAGTGTGAACATCCATGTCCAGTGTGTCATAAGTTTTAAATGATTTCAAGCAGAGGTCAGACTCTCTGTGTTTGGCTGTACACCATTTTTATACCGACTGACAAAGTGGCGCATGAAGTGGGTGGAGTTACAAATCGTCTTAGCCCCTGTCGCATATTCTGTAGGCCTATTTACGTCGTCAGCGGATAATAACATAATAATTTTTAATCGCCATCACACCTTCTCACACTGATAAAAGCTTTCCCCTCCATTTAATCGGAAAACTCTTCTTTCACAGCTCATCAGTGGCCGTCCGGGTCATGCGCCGGTGAACCAAAAAGGAACAACCCCCAACTGCACCACGGAACCACTTGATCGACATTGATTTCGCTGACGGAAGAAGTAGTCAGAGACACGGCTACGGAGCGCTAGGCTACGGGGTTGATGTGTCCGCTGCTGTAGAAGGTGACCGTATTTAGGTTGAAATGGCTTCGTTCCGAGCCGCGAGGAGGATGTTCTGCTCGACGGCCCAGACAGGAGCTACTCCGGGCCCAGTCAGCCGCTGGAAGAAGCTGATAAACAGTAAAGCAGGTGAGAAGCAGCTACATCCGGCTGCTAGCTTGGGCTTCACGTGCAGGGTTAAATTATGTATGGTTGCTGTTTAGAGAAAGTCAACTTGAGAAAAATGTTGCCTGTCATTTATATTTGTTAAACTGTTTCTGTGACTAAAACTAATCATCATGTAACTTGTTACAAAACCAAATACATTTCACCTTGTTCGGCTTAGAGTGTCACAAGGTATTTTACTGCCCAAACAGAATGGAACATGTATTAATTGGGTTTTACCATAGTAAAATAAATCTGTAAATTGTATTAAATAATTTAATCCATTGTTTTAAATATGTTATGTTTGTGTATTTGCAATTGTTGCTGGCATGACAATAATCAAATCTACTACTACCCTTTGTGACAAATATTTCTTTCATCTTATGTTTGTCATGTAGAGATAATGACTGCAGAATCCACCTTCTCCTTTAGAGATGCAGCTTTTTGTCCATGTCAAATTAATTTATATAGGACACATTAAAAACAACAAAAGCTGACCAAAGTGCTTTATAGTTCAAAGACTTGTATCAAAAACAAAACAATAAATAAATACTAATGAAATACAGAAACACATCATAAGAAAGAAAAGTAACCAATCAAAGACACCATGTCACCCTTTTAAAAAGAGCTAAATGTTTGTTTTCTATAAATAAAAATGCTACAACACAATATTATTCAAGCAACGCGGCACATATGATTTTGAACATGATTTGTTCCTTTAAAAAGTGTGTGTGTGATTGTTTCATTGTGACATATTTGCCTAAAAAGTATAAATCTTTAATTGTAAGAAGCATAATGACAATTAGCAGCATTTTTTATTGGCAAGTAATCAGCTCTTGATACTCCCTGGTTTGAAAAGATGTGGTATGTTTTTGTTCAACATGTATTCTGAACAGGCTGTGTCTCTGCTGTGTGCAGGTATGTGGTGTCGCAGCTTGCTGTCTGACTACAGGGAAGCGTGCAGGGAGATGGTCGTCGGTGCGTGGGAGCGGCCGCTCAAGACGTCGGTGTACGGCACTCTGCTGGGCGGGGCCTGGATCTGCTTTCGCACAAAACCCGACCGCTCGTCGTTTGAGGCAGCCCTGCTGGAGCGCTCCAACCAGCTGGGTCTGCTGTCGCCGTGGATCCGCAACGCCGCGTCCGACGGCCACGTGCAGAGCTTGATGAAACTCCGTAACGAGGGCCGACTCCGCTGCGCCAGCCTGGGACTGCTATGTTTGATTTACCGGGTCGACTTCGACAAGGACGCCGCGCTGTACGAAGCCCGGTGCTCCACCCTGTCCACACCGTGGCGGGAGCTCCCCCGGCGGGTGCTCGACGTCGGCTTCACCGGCTGCTGGTGGATCCTGGACTCAAAGATGAAGGACTATGATGTTAACGAGGAGGAATTCAAGTTCCTGCCGGCGTACATGCAGGAAACCTCACCACCCAGTGCTGTGGAGGTGGAGACGAACGAGCGCTTACACAAAGCATCCTGGTTACCGCTGACGGTGGAGGAGGATGAGGAGGAAACCAAACCTGTAAAGATGAAGAAGTAAAAAAAAAAAAAA